AAAAAAGAAGTCTGATGAGGAGATGTGGTGATCTCCGAAATAGTGCTATAACTTCTACCGCTTAGACTTTGTTGCTTTTTCAATTTTTCCTAATAAACAATCGTGGTACAAAGCTCAATAAAAATACAAAAAAAATTTAATTTTAGTCAAAGTTTTTATAACATTTAAAATTCTTTTTGTGAATCTTTTCTTCGTTTTGGGGAAACCCTAAAACTGTTTTCAACTATTTCTTGTTATGTGACATTTATTGATTGATTTATTTATTTTCTTCCAAATTGTTACTTTGTCTGTTTTTTGCACTGAAAAATTTAATATAATCAAACTAAAATGCAAAACTAGGGCTCAACTAGTCTTTTTCAAATTTTATACGCTTTCTTCAAGAACTGAAGGCTCCAGTGAATTATGAACAGTAAATGCCAGTTTTGAGCCACTGAGGAATGTCTTCCCTCAGACCTAAATCTCTTTTATCTCTCCCGTATTTCTCTTTTCAGGGCTGCGCGAAGGTGTTATATGGTAAGACTGAATGGGGCCCGACAAAAACTCCCGGCGCGAGCGCAGTGCGCCGGATATCGGGCGACCTGCGCAGCCAAATAGCCGTCCCCGGGTACGGCGGATGTCTACCCGAGCGGACGCGACAACACCAAACAAAACTAAAAACCTAACACCAGTACGGGAGTCCGGCACTCCCAACCATAGGCCGAAAGGAGCTACAAACTCCGCCACAAATAAGGTCACGTCACCACTGGGCCTAACTAAAAGCAGCCTTTGGCACACAGCAGATAGATCTGTACCCACTAGAACTAGGACCAAAGGCCAATGCTACCCACAAAATTCCCCAATACGCGAATTCCTTTGAAGTCTCGTTGCCTTTTTGGTAGCGGCTCTCCAGTTCCAGCTCTAACTGGAGCTTAAAGACCTGGAAATTAATTGTGCCGTCTTCGATTTTATCATGTATGACTTTAATATCTGGCTATCTTTCACCAAATCCTGCTGCAGCTGTGTAATCTTGGCATCCTGCGCTTTCAGCTTGGATGACATACATACGTGCCTCCTCTACATGTAGCTGCGCTTCTAGCCGCGATGACACCTTTGCATTGACAATTGAGCTGGCACCTCTGACAACAACTGCGACCTCTGTGCTTGAAGCTGCGTTTGCATCATGTGTGACATATCAGCCAATAACATGTTCATGATCATAACTGTTGATGAATAAGGAGCCTTTCCTTGTTCTTCAACCTTCGCAGATATCTACTCCCATAGCTTGCTGCAGCCGTGATTATAATTCCGGACGTGTATAATCCTCGCTGTTCCAATGCCTTTTAAAAGGCAGTATCGTCAAATCATAGAACTTTGTCATCTCCAAAACTTTCTCCTTGGGATTTATTTAACAATTCCAATTCTCGCCTACTCGACGGATTTCCTAAATCCTTTAGGTTCGTTTCACTGACTTGTTAAATAAACGCTCAAATTACTGGGCAAGTAACATTGTTGTACCACCGCTCCTTTACAACACTTTATAATACTCAGTAACTTCAAATTTACTGATAGCTTGCTTATACGCAACTTAACTCGTAGCTTTCTGTTAGACAACTGAGTGCAGAGTGGCACTGTTGCACCGCTTTTATATACATGTGTCCTTTATTTAGCATTCATAGCAACTCTGGAAGTTTCTTATCGAATGTTATGTCATTCATCAAACGTTCTCGCATTCTGTTGCTGACCACTTTAAACTCGCGTGTTCGCAGTATTTGCCACAATATGAACGATTTCCAAAGCATTACCTTTTTTCCTGGCCGCTTTACAAGAAATGCACCATGTGGGTCATGGGGATTCGATTTTTGTAGTAATTTTTTCACGCCACAATCGCGAAATTATAATGTTAAGACCTTTATTATTCTTTACATGCTGGCATCATTGCGTGTCTTTATCTATTGTAGAATGATTCGACCGAGAAGAAGAACAGAATCGATCCATTCTAATTGTAACGGGTGATTTTTTTGAGGTTAGGATTTTCATGCATTAGTATTTGACAGATCACGTGGGATTTCAGACATGGTGTCAAAGAGAAAGATGCTCAGTATGCTTTGACATTTCATCATGAATAGACTTACTAACGAGCAACGCTTGCAAATCATTGAATTTTATTACCAAAATCAGTGTTCGGTTCGAAATGTGTTTCGCAAACCCAATTGCTGCGAACGGCGACGAATCGACATTTCACGGTCTTCAGCAACACTCTCAGAAACAGACGCAATATTCTCTTCTGTACGCACTGTACGCATTCGTGTGGTTGGTTTAATGTCCAATAAAGTAAACTGAGTGCGAAACTTGGTCACAATCGCATTAATTGTTTGCTCACTTGGTCGATTATGTAGACCATAAATCGGACGTAAAGCGAACCGAACACTGATTTTGGTAATAAAATTCAATGATTTGCAAGCGTTGCTCGTTAGTAAGTCTATTCATGATGAAATGTCAAAGCATACTGAGCATCTTTCTCTTTGACACCATGTCTGAAATCCCACGTGATCTGTCAAATACTAATGCATGAAAATCCTAACCTCAAAAAAATCACCCGTTATAAGAATATAAACTTTGCGATTTTTTAGCAGTAAGCCTTAATCATCAACAGTCATGCTATTGGGATTATTCAATACATATGTATGTATTATAAGTATGTAGTTCATACACTGACAATGAAAAGTTTAGAGCAATTGGTATAAAGCCCTTCATATTTTGTTTTCCATTTAAGTTGCATAATTTTATTGTCAATCATTTTAATCATATTTTAAGCTAGTTTGAAAAGATAAATTAAATCAAGTTAGGGAACTTTCTAATCGTTTTAAATGAAATCTTTAAAACTATAAATTATTTATTACTTTTTAGTTCACATTGTAACAAAAGCGGGTTTTTAGTTTTTTTAAACTATAATATTAATAATATCAGGCTTGTAGACTTCTTTTGGTCTGATTATCATTCCACACTGTTCGCGAGGTGTGATTTTATTTGACTTGAAATGATGTACCATAAATTTTATTGGTTTTATGTTTTTGGCTCAAATAATATTGAATACGATTTGACTTTCCTTAAAATAATTTTTACAGTGCAGCCTTGTTCTTATAAAGCTGCAACTTACGCATATCATATTTTCGAGAAAAAAAGGTTAAAACTCCTAGTCATGTAGTAAAAAATATATCACACACACTAAAAGATTTTTCCCACTGGACTTACATATACATGTATTTTGGTAAAAAAATTAAATATGTATACCTTATGTGTATGTTTCTCATAAAAAATTAAAAGAATTTCGAAAAATAACCAATGGTGGTGCCAATGTGATCGTTTCTTTGTGAATTTAACCAAGTTTAACATTACATTTACAATATAAACTTGCGAATTGCCTGGTAAATAAACAATAAATTTAAAGTAAGAAATCATTCACAAAACAATTTGTTTAAGGTAGTTGGAACCCGCAAGTTTTTTAGTTGTGGTTTCAATGTTTTTATATTTTCTTACTTTATTGCGATCGGCATCTGACCGTAATGGGTCCTCTGCTGCTAACATGGCCGATGAGAACATAATACAGCACAATATAACGTTTCCGAAATTGCTATGATTGCAGAGCCAATGACAAAAGACGCGAAACCTGCACATTTTTTGAAAGAAAATAAGTAAAAAGAGAATTTATATAAATACGATTATTTTTTAGGATGAATTTCGGAAATGCAAAATTAGAGCTGAAATAAATGCTAAAATAATAAATTAAGTATATAAAACCAAATAACAATAAGCATGCGACAAACAAACTAAAACCTGCTAGAACTTGCTATATTCAATTATTAATTGCAACAAAAACTTGAAACCCATAGGTCTGCAGTTGGTATAAGAAATCTGGCAAATTTTCAAATTTTGGACCTTTCTGAAAAATGTTTTTTGTTTTATTTTATAATTATTCCAACTTTGTTTGCAAGCTGCAAACCTATATATATGTGCATACATTACCATATGTTAAATACAACAAAGCAACATAAAACAAAATAAATAAATACTTTAAAAACCTGTTTGTCTGAGACATTATGAAGAAAGATGAACCCTCTGGAATGGGCTGTATCTTTGTTGCTGTATTGACTTCAGACATGCGTCTAGGTCTCGCTGTAATCACATCTTCATCGCCTTCTTCATTTATACACAATCAATTGTTCAAATGTATGGTTGAATTAAAGATTTCGATTCAAATATATTTTATATTATGCATTATCCCAAAGTTGTGTACATTTAGAATATTTTCGTAAAAATAATTTTAGATAAATTGCAATACCACAGAAAAGTATTTAATAGTTATATCCTCTGTTTAGTTTATTATACTCTTGTTTATTTAAATAATTATAGATACCCTGGGCTTTTATGACTGCTGTTTAAATTAAAAAGAGGTACTCAACGTTCTTTGTTCTGCTGTTAGGTTAAATATGATATCCAGCCATATTTCCTTTACAGGTCTATTCTGCACGTTACCGAAGATTTTGTGACCGGAAAATTTTATTACCAAAAAATTTTACCACTTCTTGTCACCACGATTCTAGGTACGTTGGTAATGCAGTGAAAATATTCAGCAATTCTGCTATGAAGATTTGTGGAAATTCTGTATCGAATATTTCACGGGGCAATATTTTGTTACCAGCTTATAAGATGGTAACCAAATTTACCGGTTACAAGAGAGCACAGAATGCGAAAAAGGTTTAAAAATTGACAGACACTTTAATAACCGGTTACAAAATTTATGTTAACAGCGCAGAATAGACCTGTTAGGGCCGGTTACTCAAAGTCTGGTTAACACTAATCTCTGGTTAAACATCGTTATCGACGTCACCGACTCCCTGTTATATGAATGGAGTCGAATACGTCGATAACAATGTTTAACCGGAGATTAGTGTTAACCAGACATTGAGTAACCGGCCCTTAGTGTATCTCCGCAAATGCTGAGTGTTTGTATTTCACCACAGAATAAACAGTATACAAAAGACGCATGTCGACTATCGAACCAATTTGAATTTATGGCACGAGCGCTGAGGCAAGCAAGTGTGTTGTTGTTCCGCACAAGTAACTACGAGTAAATACTCGATACTTTCTTCAAGTACTGAGTACTTTTTGTACTGCAATCTTTATCACAAGTACTTAGTTGGGTATCGAGTACGCGGTTAGAGTATTTACTTGCTTTTCCACCTATTCAGAATTTTGGTTGTGACATAGTGTGCTATAGTATTTTTGGAAACACGTTCAGACCTTAAGTTGTACCCAACCTTAACGTGTATGAAGCAAATAAAATTTTGTACCCAACCTTAACCTGTATGAAGCAAATAAAATAAGTTGGAGAATCGGGCCTTGTTAATTGAAATTTGATACAGAAATGAAGAAACTGTCAAGACTGCGTTCCCGTACTAGTAAAATTTTCACGTTTTGCAAGATTTACTCTTTCGGTAGGTTTTGCCGAAAGTACTCGATCAAACTTATGGCTGCTCTTTTGGTAAGTTTCGATCGGAAAATACTCCAATTGTTTATTTTTTTCTTCCCATGATATAGCATTGCCGCGGCGGCAGATAACGCAACTTTCTTATTAAACTTATCAAACTTTTTTAATAAATATATCCAAATGCATATAAACATGCACAGGCCCTTTTAATTTGCATATATAATATTTTCTGAAATTATTATATTAGTTCTGCGGAATGCTGTAATGAGTTCGATATGAGTAAGTATCGACTACTTCTCTCCGATATATTTGTAGCATCGATACTTTTCTTCGATATTTTTAAAGAGTACAGGTATCGAGTACATAACAGTATCGGAACAACACTAAGCAAGGGTATCACAAGCGGTGCTGCCTTTGTTAGTTTAGCAGTTCACTCGGCTGATGCTGTTAATTCCATCGTCGCTATGATGACAAGATGTTAACTAACTTCGTTTTCCATCACGATCAGCGTTGCCGTTTTGATACAATTGTATAATTTTTAATACTTTTTTTCTAAATTGTAATATCTGCTATTTGTTTGTTTCCAAATGCCGTATTTTTATACTTTCGGCTGGCAGAAATGAATTTTTGAAAACTATGAATAGTCTTACTAGTCTATAGGCAAATATTTTTTTTCTTATTATTTAAAGTCTCACAACTTATATATAGATATTTATAAGTTTGATTTGGTAACTTTTCTAAGGGAAACAAAACACGGAATTGCTGTGCTCGTGCCGCTGTTATAGGGCCCCTAAACCACACAAAAACATTACGCAATATCGGGCTTGCGTCGATCGTTTGTGTGGTGTATGGGGTCGTTTCTACTAAACTGCACAGCTATTGCGATAAAATAAAAATTATTTTGATATTTTGCTCATGCTTGTGTTATTGTACAACAATTTGTGCTGTGTATGGCGACAACTGCGAAATTTTTAGTCTAGTTTTGATTTTGGTGTCCAGCATTATTTTTTTTTTACGTTTTAAAGCTGAAGCTACCAAAAAATACAACACACATGTGGGTTAGGGGCCCTATAAGTTTGTTTTTCGTTATGCAAATAAGCAGACAGAAACAAGAAATATATATTTTTTATAACTATAGATTTAATTATAAAATTTTCAGGCCAATTCTTAATATTCCCGGGTGTTTGTTCTCCGGGAATTTGTTTCTCCCGAGAAAGAAATCCTCCAATAATTAACACCCAGGGAGCAGCATTTTCCCCGAAAATTTAGGTGGAGGAAATTCGAACTTCGAAAAAGCTGTTTGACTCTTTTGGCAGCTCAACTCAAGAGAGAAAACTCCCAGGGAGTTACTGTTCAGAATCGCCCTGTTTATTTAATACTTGATTTTTAAATAATAGTTTAACAAACAACAGTTTTGTTTGCTTTTGATGTTTTTTCTGCTTGGCACCTGATACATTTTTTTCAAGCTCGCCGCAACGATGTGTGTTTGTGGCGAGATGTTAACTTCATGTTATTGATAGTGGATGTGATGTTAACTCCTCTGCTCTGTTCCGGGTCGCCATGTTATTCATAGTGGTCGTGATGTTAACTTCTCTGCTCTGGTCCGGGTTGTTATATTACGTCCGCCGAAGAAAAATAAATTTGTATGTGGTGCGTCTTCTATATACTGTTTATTCTGTGATTTCACATACCTTTCGTAATTTTTTTCTTTTCACACGCTTTTTTAATAATTTGTTGCGGAAAAAAAAACTTCGTAAGGCGATGTGGCCCTTTTTATACCCGAGCGCACTTGTTCACAAGGGTATTATAACTTTGTTCACATAACGGTTGTTTGTAACAGGCAAAACGAATCGAGATAGATATAGACAAATGTACACATAAATGATCAGAATGAAAAGAGAAATCGATTAAGCAGTGACTGTCTGTCCGTCCGTCCGTCCATCCTTCCGTCTGTCCGTCCGTCCGCCTGTGCACACGATAACTCGAGTAAAAATTTAGATATCTTAACGAAACTTTGTACGTGCACTTCTTTCGGGCGTAGGACGGATGGTATTGAAAATGGGCGAAATCGGACTGTAACCACGCTAGGGTTGCCAAATTTTTTATGCTCTAAATCAGTACGTTAGACTTTTTCAAGCTAAAAAAAATCAGCACTTTTCAGTGCATTTTTATTCAAAACAAAATTTTTAATGTAAGTATCAGATAATACTTTAAAACGCCAGAGTAGTTGTTTTTAACAATATTTTGGTATATAAATGAAATATAGTTCATAAAAAATAAAAGTGTTATTCATTTTAACATGAGTGTACATATCATTGTACACAGAAGCCAATAAATATTTTATATTTACGAAATTTTTGAATATCAAATTAAATTAATTTAGTGTTTAAAGTTCACTTTAAAAATTCTTAATTAAAAGCTGGTTTCTCTCCTTGTGAAGCAAAGTTTATACTCAAGATCCTCTCAGCCGCTTCGATTGAGTGTGGTATGGAAAAAAAACAAACAATATTACATATTTTTCAAAATATGGGCAAGTACCACCATTTAAGGACTTCATCTATAATTCCTCATGGCTTAAATTAATTTTTCTACGCAAAAACTTTGAAAGACTAAGAATTCACTAAAAAGAATATCTGACTCTATGCCTTGTATGCATAACTCTTTTACATTGTCAGTAAATTGTAAAAAAAGCATTACAAGTTATAGGCAAAGGCCATTCGAATATTAAAATTTATTGTTATTTAACTGAAACTTATTTTCGAGATAACTAGCAACACTCGACTGACATCGCAAATGGTACGTAACGACCCGGCAATATGCCCATAAAACGACTGATCTTTTTGTTGTATTAATTTCTTGGGCATATCAAACATTATCTGAAACATGTCAACTACAATTAAATTATTTTCTTCTTACTTCTTACAGTACAGTTTAAGGGAGTTCCAACGTTATGTAAAAACCTTAAGAAAATCCTAAAGTATTTTGTTAGAATTGAAAATTCAGTACAAATTTACAAAAATCAGGACATTAGCGTACTGATTGAAGAAATTAATAAAATCAGTACAAGAGTTGAAAAATCAGTACTGTACTGATAAAATCAGTACGTCTGGCAACCGTAAACCACGACCACTTCCCATATAACGGTAATTTTCAGAAATACGAAAACTGCAATATTTTAG